CTAGCCATTTGCTTTACCTTTTAAAGAGTTGTTGAAATTCATTTGTGAAGATATACAGCTCTGGCTTCTTCTTAGGAGAGTTTTAAAGACCAATTATTGTTAGAGTCTGGTAGTTTGTGTGTTCATTTTATCTAGGTCTTATAGCTTCTTTACTTTTACTGTATATTTTTGTCTCAGTGTTACTTTCTTATCTAAGAGGCAGCACCATGTTCATTTCAAAGTGTTCACAGAATATCCTATGAAAGTTGGGCATTAGGCAGAACAGAAAGCAGGGTTTGTGTCAGCATCTGAGGGAATCTACAGACAGGTCAAAACAGACTCCTGGCATCTGAACCCAGGATTCTGCTTCCCCTGAGATCAGGGTCTCTTGTCTGTGCTTGGGCTGACATCTTAGGATAGAAGTCATCCTAGGGCAGGGTTTCATCAATGCTAAGAATCCACAAAGTTCTCTTATGGTGTTTCTGAGAAGCCTTCCTTTCTTCACAGTTCTGATGAGGTAGATTCTTGATTGCATGGTGTGCAGTGTTTCTCAGAGGGCGAAACACCTGGGCTTATCATTGCCACTGTTTCCACTGACATGTTATAATAACAAAATTTGACATAATCATTACAATTACACAGGTATTACCAGTATCTCAGTTAGCAAATAATCAAATTGATGAAAGAAAAAACATGATTATTATGGTTTGGGTAGGAAATGTTCCCACAAAGGCTCATGCATTGAAAGATTGGTTTCTAGTTAGTGATGCTATCTCTGGAGGTTCTAGAAAAATTAGAAGATGAGACCTAGCTTGAGAAAGTAATTCAATGGCAGTGAAAGACATATTATTACAGCCCTGACTCCTTTCTGTCCCTTTCTCTGCTTCCTGCATCTCAAGAAATGAAATACACTCATTTATGATAAAGACTCTCAACCATCTAGGAGGGACTTTTTCAACCACCAGGCTTTAGATCATACTTAGTGGGTCCAAGATTGTTTTTCTCTGGAATGGAACCCTTAGGCAATCAACAACAAAAATAAGTCATAATTATGGAAAGAAAGAAGTTATGGATTAGCTATATCCCAGCCCTAATCCCCAGTACTCTTTAAAACTCATTGTACTTAGAGACAGGAACTTCAAAGAGGTCATCAAGGGCCAAAGAATTCACATGAGTGGTCCTACTACGGTATTATCACTCAAGTGATGGTATCTTTGGAAAGAGCAGAGATGCCTGGGAGGCATATACAAAAAGGACCATGAGAAGTCACAGTGACAAGAAAACCCCCACAAGCCTCAGGGAGGGAAATGATTAGTGGAGAGCACAGGGAACTTCTGTGATCAGGTAAATGTTCTACATATGAACTGGTGATTACATGGGTAGAAAACAATTGTCAGACATATCAAGCTGTATTTCTAAGACCCGAGCAACTGTGTTGTGTATAATTAAACCTCAATTAGAATAAAAGGAAATGCAATAATGACCATTGTTTTCTTGACTTCTCGGGCATTGCTCTTTTAAGGCCTCACTGTAATCTTTCTCTTTGACATTAGCAATCAATCATTGTAAGGAATCGGACCGGGGTAAGCATATATTTTGCTTAAATCACTAAATCATTGCAGGTGCTGGGTCAAAAGGTCAAATTGATTAGGTCCTTAATTTTGGAAAATGAAATAGGGAAAGAAGAAGAACAATATATTTAATGTTATGTTAATTCAGTCAACAAATATATAATGAGAACTTACATGTGTTTAGCTATGTTCTAAGTCATAGAGGCATACATGCTACTGTCTAGTGACAGAAGACCTCAGACATATTAACAAACAGGTAAAGTAGATGGTATTTTGGGGAATTTCTTTCAATTACAGAGAATGGGAAATATAGATGCTTTGGTTTAAGTGACAATATCCCATATTTACAGCAAGATTAACTCTTAAAGATAGGTTCTTAAACTTTAGTTCTTTTTTTAGTGAACCAGGTAGGATGATTTACTCTAGTGTTTGGGTTCATTCATAGCACTCTAGTGTGCTTGTTTTCTGTGTGCTGTGGATAAATCGATGCTTAGCATATCTTTTAGTTCACACTTCTGACAATCAGTTTATTTTCTTATTATTAAATATAAGATGCAGATTGTAGCACAAATAATAAAAACCCAAAAGATCAGAAAAGCAAAGCAGCCAGCAACTAGAGTTCTCACCTCTACCAATGCTCAGCCTGAAGGAGCGATCCCCCGGCCTCAGACTGCACTGCTCTCCGCCAAAGCTCAGAACGATTCCCAGACTGCTGTCTCTCATTCCTCTCCAATGCCAAGATTAAAGAGGCTGGCTGGAAACCACTTCTGGTCTTTGATTCTTCTAACATACTTATTTATTTTGTCTCCTGTGTTCATCCACCATGGGTCATTACTGCAAGCACAGGCTCACTTACAGCACTGGAGATTAATTTTACTTCAGTTAAGTCTATAATAATCATTGTCCAAAAAACAAATGTGCTTGAGATCCTCTCAGAGAACTGTACCAGTGATGGTAGTTAGACAAGGTGGGCCTACAACATCTCCAAAGGAAAAATGAAGAGTGGCCAACCGTGTCAGCTAACCTGCAGTGCAGTGAGGATCTGGCACAAATATAAAGGGGTTCAGAGATCTGTGACAGAGGAACCAGCAACAGGTATCAAGTACTGTGCTGTTCAGCCAGAGTGTAAAAAGGGCAGCACCAAGCACATGGTCTAATACTTTCATTCTCAGTGGCCTCTGCCTCAGCTAGTTCATCTGAGTTACAGGAAAAATGCCCCAAGTTTCAAGGGTCTTATGACATAGAAGCAGTCATTTTTCAGGTAGAAGTAGTTCTAGAATGTTTGCTTATACACGGAGAGATGAAGAGCATGTGTTTCTTCTGTGCATGCTTTCTAAAAGCTGTTGACTCAAGTTTAGATTTTTCTGAAGTAACATCTTCCCATTCTACATAACTCAGTGAAAACCAACTAAAATATAACATCCTAAGTGCTGATGGAAGAGAAAGTTTAGGTTGTAAGCTAATTTTTATAATAATGTACCCAATTTTGTTATCATAAGGCTTCTCTTCGAGTCGACTCTGTCTCTTTTATATGTTTAGCATCAATAAAGTTGGCAGAGTGTTGAGGAGAACAGGAGAGATAAAGGAGTGAGGGACTGGTAATAAAGATTAATGGTCCTGCAGTAAATGTCCTGTAAGCACTTCATGATTAAATGACAACAACAAAAGAAACAACAGATATAAGAAATGTATACTAAAGGATGCTGTCATGCTAACGAAAGGAAAGCAATTAAGGAGGTGCAACCAAGCAGTGTAACTTGGGCAGTTGGTGCCGGGTCACTGGCACTGTAATCACCAGGGCATCCAGACCCACGGTGCACACCTGGGGAAGTTAATTCTCCCACTGGGCTGGGTGCTGTAGCAAATGCCAAGGCAATAGATAGCCCCGCCCTGTCTCTAGCCAGGACACACCAGCTCTGCAGTGGCAGAGTTGCTCAAGGGGGCAACTCCATGTCTTCAGTGATCAGGCAGATCATAAAAGGAAAGAAAATACCAGACGATCTTTTTCCATGAGTGAAAACCTTCATGGTTCTTGTATCTTAAAATGTTGAAACACTTCACACATTTAAACAGATGATAATGTTTTTGATATTATTTTCGCTATCACACTACATCCTCCCGCCCTTTAAATAAAAAGGGAGGAAGCGGGTGAGGAGCTGCTGGCAAGTGAAAGGGTGAATGACAGCACTCCTGAAAACTGCAGATGTGTAATAGCAGCCTCCCTCGAGTTAGATCTATTGATCGTCCACCAGCACTGCTGGGATTCACTGTGTACAACAAAGTGCTGCCATGTCAGCACACGACACGGCACGAGCGATGCTCCCGAACTCCCGGCAGTCAAAAGTGACCCTGTTTCAAATTAGAAATTGATTTTTTTTGGGGGGTCCAGTCTTTCAGGCTTCTGTAGCTGGGACAGGGAGAGCTCTGCCTCCTACGCAGCTAGGCTGTCCCAGTGGTGCCTGACAAGTGTCTTTAAGAGCTGCTCTCTAGCTCTCCGTGACACATGCGATGCTACTTATCCCTCTGCCGTTTTGCTACATAGTTTTTTATTTTGTCATTTTAGTGCTGGCACACAACATGCATGTACTGACAAGTCAACAGAAGATCATGTTAACCCTTGTGGAGTAAACACTAGACCAGTTCTGAGTGGAACCTCCTCTCTCTCTCTCCTCTCTCTCTCTCCTCTCTCTCTCTCAAGTGCAATGACAAGAATAAGGGGAACCAAAGTAAAGGTTTCCCATTGCTGATTACAAACAGTTGGTTGCAGGACAGGAGCTTTCCTGGTGGAAGGGGGCATATATAAAAAATCAGGTGACAGTTCTGAGCAGGGTGTGAGGAGAGGAGGCTGTTTCCTGTACATCTATCCACAAGGAAGTTCATTCCCTTTCCAGCTAGTCCTTAAGGGTGTTGGCATAGACTGTACCAGGAGTCATTTCAGGAGCAGCTAGGAAACAAACACCTCTTTCATTTCAGGGTTAATTATAATATTATTAGCACTTCAAGGGATGATAGGCGCTATTTGTTTAGACTTGGGTGACTGTTTAATTACAATGTAAAGATGCTCATGATTTCCCTTCTACATTCCCCACATTACCAGTCAATTGAGGATCAACCATTATTATGAGGCCTTACTTTGCAGGAGAGAGGTTTTTATGTTCAACTCCTCATCCTGTTACTTACTTTGAGAACATCATTTGATATCTATAACCATATTTTCTGTACAATTTAGCTTTTAAAAAGGGGGTCAAACTGGACACAAGAGCTCATACCAGTACTCTAAGAGAAATGTAGATGTGATTTGAGAATCTAGTAGTTGTGCCACCCACAGCTTTGCAGGCATACATTTATCTGAAATGCTAACTCCAGTGCTATTCAGTGGGTTGCAGACACCAGCCACCTTTCGCTGTCCTCAGTGGCTTCTCTTTCTGTGACTGCAGAGACTGCACTCACCTCTCTGGGGTCTGCATGCATCTTTCTGCTGGCACATCCATTGGACGTCATCCTCCACATGGGACTGAAACTCAACTGTCTTCTTCTCCCTCCTGCTTTGTCCACTGTTGGGAGAGTTTGGGCACTTTTTGAAGGATGATGAGGTTCCACGCAGCCATCCGTCACATTTCAACTTCAATAAGCTGAAAGAGGAAGCATGAATAAACTGTAGATGGCATGGGGGAAGACACAGATCACATGGACATACTTGAAATTGGCGTGAGTTCCAATACAATTCATGGCAGTGAGTATCCTTTTCTTTGATCGATACATGATTTGACTATTTCTCTGAATGTATATTTTGTGTCTTACTACAACTGTTTTGGAGAACAAACTAGTTTAATGATGGTAATCCTCAAAGTACATTTGGAGTTACAGAAATGAGACTCAAGCTCATTAAACTGCTACTAAAGCCAGAAGAATCAGAATGTCTAAGAAATAAAAAAAGAAGGTTAAAGAGAGATGTGCATATCTAACATGTTCCCTAAGTACTAAAGATGAACCCTGGGAATTAAAATACCAGCATTTGCTATCTAGGGATAGTGCAAAAGCTGGAGGCCCAAGGAGGTTAAGTAAACTGACAAGAAGGCATTAGCGTTCCCTTTATGGTCTGAGACAGACAAGAGGAAAGGAAGCAATGAGGAATCAAAGCCTGGCAGAAAAGCAAAATGAAATGAAGCATTTATTTATGTAAGAAAAATAAAAACGAAACAAAATTAATGAGGGAAACCTTTGGCATGGTGTATGGTATGTGAGGAATGTGAGACAGAAGACTGAAGATAAGCAAGCAGGAACACAAAGGCAGGCCACTAAGGACAATGTACTTGTGATGGAACTACAATAGGTGACACAAGTTTGGTGTATGGCCCCACGGAGTCACCTAAAAACGCAGAGAAACAAAGAACAAAATCTCCTTAGCTACACAGGGGATGGACCAACTGCGCGGGTATGGAAGGCTCACCAAGGATGGCAGGAGTGTGGAAATATACATCTCTGATTGGCATGTCAATGTCCTACTGAGATACTGATGGAAAACAATGGAAGGGAGGAACACTGAAGGACAGAAGGAGGCAGGCTTTTAAGAATTGCTGGCACAGTTGTTATCTGTTCTTATCATATGTCACAGGAAAAATAGCCTCTATCACAAGTAGTGTTCTCAGAAAAGATGCTGATTTTAGGCATCGATTCATAGACTGGTGGTGTATTTATCTGGGAAAAGTTTTAGTAAGAGGATGTCTGGAGTCTCACCCACTTAAGTGAATGGACTGCCTGAGACGAATCCCATCTACACTCTCTACTTTTTAAAAGCTTCCTAGGGGCTTCTGCAACCATGTCTGTTCCTTCAGATGACTTCTTTTGCCCAGCATTTAGAACTCTTAAAAAAACAAAACCAAAAAAAAAAAAACAAAACAAAACAAAACAAAAAACAAAACAAAACAAAACAAAAAAAACTACACCTACACCGACTTGATTAAGATGTTACTGCTAAATGATTTTTTCTTCTTTTTTTCTCTCCTCTTCTCCCTTTTCCTTCACAATTACAAACCCACACATCTATTGAGCTCCAAATTTCATCAGATTATATGACGGTCTTTCTTAGTCTTTTGTTCTACGCATCACTAATACAAAGTATATTGTTGATATGTGGCTTAATTACAGGGGTAGCTGTTGAAAGAACTGTTGGAGCTAGTCCTAGGAGGCCAAGATCCACTCCAGTGTCCAACACAGAAACAGAAACATAGGGGAGATGACACACACCCTGGATGACAGTCTTCCTGTCCACTGCCTTCTAATCCATATTTGAAGCCCCTTTCATATAACGGAGTGTTCTAAGATAATTTTCATGAGGAAATGAGATTTTTACTTTCCTTTTCTTACAAAGGTTTGACCATTGCTGCGAGTTCCTTCTCACTAATTCTCATCTTTGAATAATTTTTAAAAATGTCTATGATCAAAAAGTCACAAGTCGTGGGAGAGAACAGGGACAAAATTCTTGTGAAAAGGGGGAAAACTTTTAAAATCCTGAAGGAAAGGGTAGGCTCTACAGAGGAACCCGCTCTAAACAGGAGGGACTTCTGGGCAGAGGAGGATGAAGAGGGAGGGAAAGTGCTCCCATGTCCTGCTGTGTTCTATAAACAAAAGGGGATCTGTTGCTATCCTCTCTCTATGGAGAATGAAAACGGACTTCTGAAGACTCTCTCAGACATCCAATTATATATAATCTCCTCATCACTTCCAGGCTGCTTTCTCCGCTTTATGCTTGTGGTTGAACACGTCCCTTCTCAGCTTCCTGACCTGGTTGCCTGCTGCCTTGTGTCCCCAGCCATTAAGGGCTCTCCCTGTGGAACTTTAAGTCAAAATAAACTAATCCATTTAGAAAAATATATTTATTTTTTTAAGAATGTCATATGTATAACAATAAAATAGGATCATGTTTACTTCTATTACTTTTTTTTCTCCCTCCAACTTCTTTATATCTTTCTAATAAGCATTCCCCAACTTCATGCTATTTTTTGATATCCTACTAAATCCAGTTACTGCTACCCATATGTGCATGGATATGTAGTTATCCACTGGAGCATGGGAAAGCTACCAGTGGCTGTATCGTCAATAAAGGTAGATTCTGTCTTTTCCAGCAACTAATCACTGCCAATAGATCCTCAGCTTAGAATGGGGTCTGGAGATCATCTACCCATCTATGCTGGAATTTTGGCTGAGTATATCTTGAATAGGTGAGCAGAGATGCTGTGAGTTCATTATTGTAATTGTCATGTCATCCCAGAAGAGATTTTTTTTTTTTTTTTAAAAAAAGCACTTGTCTCCATATCTAGCTATTGCCTCTTCCATAATAATCCCTGAATGTTAGTGATGGTAGGGTTATTAATAAGATGTCCCATTTATGGCTTAGCGCCCAGTATCTCATTCTTAGCACTCTGAGTAGTTGGATATCTCTCTCCATTGCACAAAGAGGCTTTTCTGACTAAAGCTGGAGCAGCTCAAGTCTTCTGGTGCTACAAGCTGGGCTGAAATACATTTTGGACTTACGATAATTTCAATTTCAGATTGGTTTATTAGGCAATCAAGGAGTAGTTACATGATGGACATAAAACAAACTCTTAATGAATGAGCAGCCAGGCAGCTTCAGGAGAGATATTTAGACTATAATTAAAACTAGATGGAAATTTTAGAACTGAAAATTACAGTAGTTGACATAAAAATTGGAAAATGAAGATGAAAGCATAAATGTTAAGTGAATTTTATAACAGAAGCAACAGAAATGACCTAATTTAGAAAATAGAAAAAAAAAAATAGAGAAAATAGAGAAAAATAAGCAGACTCTCCGGAACTGTAATGGCAACCCAAAGCTATCTAAAAAGGAGAAAGTGAAATCTTAAAGGAGAATTCATGAAGATGGGGCAGGAAAAATAGCAAGAGAAATGTGTCCTGAATGTAACATCAGAATATTTTCTAAGCCAGACAAAAAAACCTAATATTCAAATAGAGTAAAAGGAAAGATAAAGCGGATCCTTCAACTTGAGAAATGTTAGTGAGACACAGACCAGAACATATGAGAAGGAATATCTCTACAATGTTGAAAGTAAACAGACAAACCAGCCACCTCAGGATTTGACTTCTGATAAAAAAAATTCCTCAAAAAAAGAAGAAATGATTTTTTAAATTAAAAATGGAAATTTTGTTGCCAGAGCACCTGCACTACAAGAAGTAACAGGATGTTTTTCAAATGGCAGGAAATGATACCATATGGAAATTTGGATCTATAAAGAGAAATGAGGAGCATCAGAAACAGTACATGGTAGATAAACATAAAAGGCTGTTATCATTATGTTTTTCTTGAAAAATATAGGAATCCTCAAAGCCAAACTGGTAACGTTATGCTGTCATGTTTACACGTACCGAGATTTAATATATATGACAACAATATCACATGCAACAGAGAAATAAATGTACTGATACAACAGAAAAAGACCCCACTGTATACACAAAGCGGCCCGGAAAAAGACCCCACTGTGTACACAAAGTGGCCTGGCATTGCTGCTGCACTGTCATTCTCTAAGTTAGGGAAGCATCTGGAACTGGTCACATGAACTACCAAGAGGAACAGTTGGGGAGTTAACAGAAAAAGTATGTACTTTAAAGGGGAGAAGAAAAGGAAAGAAGCTGGGCTTGAGGGTTTATGTCTGTAAAGTCAACCCTTGGGAGGGGAAGGGAAGGTGGATTGCTGTGAGTTCCAGCCTGTGCAGGAGTAAGATCACATCTCCAAACACAAAAGGAATTAGCTGGCCCTGTCCACCTCAGCTGTATCAGCTTAACTTTAAATGCATTATGCACATAAATTAGCTTTTGTTCATCTGTTGTGTGGGAAGTTGTTTGAATGCAGGGCTGGGGATCAGACCTAGAACATGGCACAGGTAGCAACTTCTCCACTTGATACCCAACTGTAATCACTTGCAAAAGAAAAATTAGTTTCCTCCAACAGAATCTCACCGCCTTTACAAACCGCACTTAGGGCAGACCCATGTCCAGCAGTAGATAGCCAAAAGAAAATAAATTCAATGGTATTTTTGGAGCTTTTTTTTTTAATCTCATAATGCTTTGTCTGAACACTTTTGTAACCTTACAGGTCTTCTGCTTACATATTATGGTTTCCAATTTTGTTTTTATGGGTTTTCTGTGTGTGAGAATGTGTCTCTGTATCTGTTTCTTGCACTTTTGCTTTAGTTCTTTTTTTACTATTCACATATCAGGATATATTGTATGAGAAATACTTTCAATTAAAAGTAGAATCTAAATTAAAAATAATCCAGAAGACATAAAAATCATGGGACACATGCATGCATCTAGGACAATGCATCAAAACAGATGTAGCAAAACCTGATAAAATTAAAGAGTACATCCTGTGAGAGGTAACCCAGACAAAGAAACATGTTACACACTCACTCATAATTGGATATTAGCTATAAAATAAAGGAGAACAATGCTACAATTCACAGACCCAGAGAAACTAAGTATCACGAAGGCTTTAAGTGGGAAATGCCAAGTTCTCCTTAGAAAGGCGAAATAGAAGAGATTTTGTGAGTGGACTGCGGGCAGGTGGGGTGAAAGAGGGGAAGAGTACTGGAAA